TATATACAGTTAAACAAACCCTGAATTGAATAAGTAAGAAGTGGAAGGCCACAGGACATAAGTTTCATACACTCATAGTGACCTCTGCTTGAGTTTCTGAGGTGGTATCACTATGGAAATAGATTGCCCAACCTTCTTTCTGAGGAGCGGCTGGTGGGTTCAAACCGCATGAAGTATTTATATATTAATCTAACAAAACTTTTACAAATCTGTATGATGAAAAATTACAAAAGACTGATGTGTTTAATATTTTGTGTCCATGAATTGGAAGGTCAATATTGTTAAGTTGTCAATTCCTCCCAAATTGATTTATAGATTTAATGCAATCTCAATAAAAATTCTAGCAAGCTTCTGGGTAGAGATCAGCAATCTGACTCTAAGAATTATATACTACTGCCATCAAGTTGGGAGCTCTGGTGGTGTAGTGCCTAAGGCATTTGACTACTAACCAGAAGACTGGCGGTTCAAACCCACCAGGTACTCCTCAGAAGAAAGGTTGGGCAATCTTCTTCAGTTGTGATACCACCTCAGAAACCCAAAGAGGGCTTGCTATGAGTTGGACCTGACTCAATGGCTGTGAGTTTGAGTTTTTGGTTTTGGCTTTCAAGTTGATTCTGACTCACAGCCAACCTATAGGAAAGAGCAGACCTGACCCACAGGTTTTCTAAGACTGTAAATCCAGCAGCTGGGGGTTCAAAGAACCGAGCTTTGGGTTAACAGTCATGCATGAGCTTAATTACTCTACCAACAGGGCTTGGGATGGTCAACACCATGTTGAGGGAGCAAAATAACTTCAATGACTCATAGTATCAGATTTCAACACTTGCTATAAATCTATAGTAATGAAGGCAGTATGATATGTGAAAATAGATACATAGATTATTTGGACAGAATCGGGAGCCCTACAAATATAGTCACTGATTTTTGACAAAAAAAGTAACACAAAATGAGAGTTGTTTTGTTTTCTTGAAAAATTGTGTTGAAACAATTGGATGTCTAGATGCAAAATAATAGAGATAGATAGACAGACAGATAGATAGACATATAGATAGATAGAGGGGTTATGAAATATTGTTTTTTGATACACTAGGACCATATCAGAAAAGCTTCTTGTAGGAAAGATAGCTTCCAGAAAATATGCTGAACGGTATATAAGATATGAAATGTGCCTGGAGAATTAATAATAAGACTTTTAACTTGAACAATTTTGTTTATGACAGGCTATGTCTTCCGCCTTATATTCTCACTTTTTATACCCATGTAAAATAATATTTCTTCTTCTTGTTACCAAATCAATACCTATGTATCTGGGATTTGAAAACATAAATGTGTGGAAAGAGAAACACATTAAAGTAACCCATTCTGATTTCTCTGGAGATGTAGTTAAAAGAAGAGTAAATATATAATGCCTGCAGGGAACACTTTCATAACACAGAATTTGGTAGTCCTTTGAGAAATGGTGACCTTGCATCTCAGATACCTTTGAGAATTCTTATACATTTTCCTGTAGGACACAAACAGTACAAATGATCCCATGACATTAAATTTTATATACCACTGGGTATAATACTTAGAGAAGTATTCAGTACATCAATAAGTACATTTAATACACTAGTTTAAGTTTCACACATACACACACCCCAAAAAAATCTGATAAAACATTTCAAAGATTGTCTGTTACAGGTGAGAAATAACAATCATAGATAATGTGATACAGTGAGTTTCACGTAGAGAGAAATGAAGTGTCTGTGTGATCTGGGTAGAAAATGAAAAAAAGAATTAAATATCGCACCATAGGTGATTTTGCCTTTACAAATCAGTGTGTAGCTCGTCTTAAGAAAGCTGTTTGGGATTTTAAGTATATTTTAAAGACTGATTTATGACTAAAAATATTAAAATTTTGTATTTCTAAAATAGAAAGACAATATTTTATCTGAGATATATTTTAACCACTTTTTTTTTTTT